ATGTTCATTTGTTCGTTAAAATACAAAAAAACCTGCTTAAAAACAACTTTACTGAGTCACCGAGTGCATAACAATTTTCCTCGTTTCACAATTTTATTATTATAAGGTGACCAAAATTATAAACTAGGACACACCTGGGTTGGGATGGTTGGTATAAATAAAATTGCGGATTCTCGTGTCAGTCATAATCTGAGGGACTTTTTTTTTGTGCTTTATGGTCGTTTGCAAACACGGATTTCTATATTTTGGTTAAACAAATGAGAATTTATGTTCCTTTTTACTGTTGGCAGGGATCAGATTAGTCAACAGTTGTGATAGACCTGGTTTAGACCTGATGTAGTCCTGGTTTAATCTTAGTTTAGTCCTGGTTTAGATCAGATTAGTCAAAAAAGGGACATTTCTTGTGTAAAACTGGGACAAATCGCATCGTAAATTTGCATAAATCTGCTGGGGACACGGGGCAATGGGGCACAAAACTGGGACTGTCCCGGGTACGTGTGATCACCCGACATCAGTGTTTCCCAAAGACTGGGTCACGATCTTCAGGTGAGTCATAAGAGATTTTTTTTTTGGGGTCGCTTTGTCACGATCTGCACATAGGTCTGCAATATACAGGGCCACATTTAACGTCCAAATAGGAGACTTATGGATCCTTTTATTGCTGCTTCAATTTCTGTTTTTCATTGTTTAAAACTTGAGTAAAACTAATTGTATAGAGACACAATCACTCAGTCAACAATAAAATATCCTCATTAATGATCAATAATGGTCAAATCCACCTTTATTTTGTGATTTATGAATAATGTCGATTGACTTGGGTCGCGAAGGTTTGTGACTTTTAAAATATGAGTCCCCAGAAAAAAAAAAGTTTGGAAACACTGCCTTATATTTTTATCAACCACCACAAACCGAGAGTGTCCCAGTTTTTGATTTTGAAATTCTAGTCACTCTGTTTTTTGTAGAACTGTGATACTAAATGTTATTGTCTTTTTGAACCTAGACTGATTGAATCCAGGACTAAACCAGGACTAAACCAGTACTGAACCAGAGCTGAACCAGGACTGAACCAGGTCTAAACCAGGACTGAACCAGGACTGAACCAGAGCTGAACCAGGACTCAACCAGGATTGAACCAGGACTAAACCAGGACCGAACCAGGACTGAACCAGAGCTGAACCAGGACTAAACAAGGACTGAACCAGGTCTGAACCAGTACTGAACCAGGTCTAAACCAGTACTGAACCAGGTCTAAACCAGTACTGAACCAGGACTAAACCAGTACTGAACCCGGACTGAACCAGGACTGAACCAGGACTGAACCAGAGCTGAACCAGGACTAAACAAGGACTGAACCAGGTCTGAACCAGTACTGAACCAGGTCTAAACCAGTACTGAACCAGGTCTAAACCAGTACTGAACCAGGACTAAACCAGGACTCAACCAGGATTGAACCAGGACTAAACCAGGACCGAACCAGGACTGAACCAGAGCTGAACTAGGACTAAACCAGTACTGAACCCGAACTGAACCAGGACTGAACCAGAGCTGAACCAGGACTAAACCAGAGCTGAACCAGGACTAAACAAGGACTGAACCAGGTCTGAACCAGTACTGAACCAGGTCTAAACCAGTACTACACCAGGACTGAACCAAACACAGTGCTACTCGGCGTTCATTCATTTAAATCAGCGTTACCCAGTACCAAGATGGCGGCTTCGTTGACGTATTCATTCCAATAGACAGCGGTCGTCAACGTGAGATCTACCGTTTATAATCTATGTGAACTAGTAAACAAGTCCCTTTCAAACAACATCACAATCACAAACTTCCTTCAGTAAAAAAAAATAAAACCATACAAGATGAGAACTATCAAGCATATTATTCTTTTTTTTTATTTAATTCTTATTATCTTAGCATTAGCATTAGCATTAGCATTAATATTAGCAGTTTTTCAGCTCGTCACTTTCACCTTTTTGTTAAAAATAAAACTCTTAAAAATGACCATGGACACTCATACTCATCGCAGCTTAAAATGTCTGATTATTATCTTAAAAATAAAATAAAAAATATATATCTTAAGTATATCTCAAGAATGGAACAAGCTACTTTTATTCAAGTACGAGTATTTTAACTTTACTTTAACTACTTTTAAATCCTGCTACTTCTACTACTAAACTGGCAAAAAATGACTACTTCTATTACTACTACTTGCACTTAGACTACTACTAAGTTAATACTACCACATCTGCTACTTCTGCTACTACAAAAACAACTACAACTACAATAACTACAAGTACTTACATCTGCAACTTGTGCTGCTTCTACTTTTTTACAATACTACTACTGCTTTTGCTATTACTACAAATACTTTTCGTACAGGAACATCTTCTACTTCTTTTACTACTGCCTATACTACTACTATACTACGACTATGTACTTTTAACACTGCCACAAATACTGCCACTTCTACTCTTACTGCTGCTACTGCAAACTACTATTATGTATAGGCTATATTACTACAACTACTTTAAGTGCAACAACATCTACTACATACTACTTCATTGTTTACTAGTATACCTATTACCGTGATCCAACTACTACTACCGTTGACAACTACTACTACTACAGTATTTTTATTATGACTACTTTAAAAGCAACTGGTACTGTTACTCTTACCATTCTTTCTACTACTACTACTAGTACTGCAGTATTTTTATTATGACTACTGACTACTTTAAAAGCAAGAGCTACTATTACTCTTACTACTCTTTCTACTACTACTTACTACTTCTGTTAACAATAGACAAACAACATTAAAAATACAGCAACAACCAGTACTACTACTACAAAATGTACATGAAAACTGATGATTTACTACTACTATAATACAACTAGATGTACGTAAAACTGCTGATTTGGACACTACTACTATTACTACTACTACCACTACTTAGATCTACATGAAAATTGCCAATTTGCAGTATAAACACAACTTCTACAACTATAACTACCACTAAAAAATACAACTATTACTAGTACATCTACTACTACTACGTCAACTACTTCTTACTTTTACTACTACTAGATTTACATGAAAACTGACAATTTGCACTACGATTAATAATACAACTTCTACAACTATAACTACCACTAAAAATACAACAACAACAACAACTACTACTACTACAAGTAGTACTTTTACTACCTCTACTAGTACTAGATGTACATGAAAACTGTCGATTTGCACTAAGACTACTACTAGAAACAGTACAACATCTACAACTATAACTACCACTAAAAAAATACAACAACTACTACTGCTACTAGTACTACTACTACAAAAACTATTACTACTACTACAGCTACTACTGCTGCTACTTCTACTACTACTAGATCGACATGAAAACTGACAATTTGCACTACGAATACTAGTTGTAATACTACGTCTACAACTGTAACTCCTACTAAAAATTACAACTACTACTTCTACAACTACTACTACAGCTACTACTTCTACTACAAGATGTACATGAAAACTGACGCTTTGCACTATGACTACTACTGCTTTTACAACTTTAACTACCACTAAAAAATACAACAACAACTACTACTGCTTCTGCTTTTACAACTTTAACTACCACTAAAAAATACAACAACAACTACTACTGCTTCTGCTACTACTACAACTTCTAGTACTTCTACAACTAGATCTACATGAAAACTGTCATTTTGCACTGCGACTACTAGTGGTAATAAATAATATGTCTACATCTATAACTACCACTAAAAATACAACAACTACTACTTCTACTACTACTACTACTGTTACAAACTTTTGTAGCACTTCTACTACTTCTACTACTACTAGATGTACATGAAAACTGCCGATTTGCTCTACGACTACTGCCGGTAATAATACATCTACAACGATAACTACCACTAAAATACAACTACTACTACTACTGCTACTACTACTACTACTGCTACTACTACTACTACTACTACTACTACTACTACTACTACTTCTACTACTAGATCGACATGAAAACTGTCAATTTGCACTACGACTACTACTAGTAATAGTATAACTTCTACAATTATAACTACCACTAAAAATACAACAACAACTACTACTACTACTACTACTGCTTCTGCTACTACTACAACTTCTAGTACTTCTACTACTTCTACTTACAACTAGAACAACATGAAAACTGACAATTTGCACTGCGACTACTAGTGGTAATAAATAATACGTCTACAACTATAACTACCACTAAAAATACAACAAGTACTACTTCTACTACTACTACTACTACTGTTACTAACATTTCTAGTGCTTCTACTACTTCTACAACTACTAGATGTACATGAAAACTGCCGATTTGCTCTGCCGGTAATAATACAATACATCTACAACTATAACTACCACTAAAAATACAACAACTACTACTACTACTACTACTACTACTACTACTACTGCTACTACTAGATCGACATGAAAACTGTCAATTTGCACTATGACTACTACTAGTAATAGTATAACTTCTACAACTATAGCTACCACAACAAAATACAACTACTACTACTTCTGCTACTACTACTAATACTACTACTACTACTCCAACTACTTCTAGTACTATGAGATCTACATGAAAACTGACAATTTGCACTACGACTACTACTAGTAATAGTACAAATTCTACAACTGTAACTACCACTAAAAAATACAACAACTACTACTACTGCTACTACTATTACTACTACTACTACTGCTACTACTATTCATTCTAGTACTTCTACTACTTCTGCTAATACTAAATCTACATGAAAACTGATGATTTGCACTACGACTAGTAGATAGTACAACTTCTACAACTATAACTACCACTAAAAATACAACAACTACTACTGGTACTACTACTACTACTACTACTACTACTACTTCTACTACTACTATTTGCAGTACTTGAGGAGCTGGTATTAGGACGTGGACTCACATGGTTCCTTTCTTGTGGTCCTCGCGGTCCATCCTCTGCTCTGTCGCTGATGGCGGTTGGACATTTAGGTTGCGCATGGTTTTGTTAACTCCTCCGTCTCATCCTCCTCTCCTCCTGTCTTTCTCTCACTCTGCCGCGGCTCCCTGCGCTCACGCCTTTATACCCAGAGACAAAGAGAGAGAGAGACGGAGAGACGGAGAGGCAGTGAAGTGAAAGAGGAAGGAGAGAGAGAGAGAGAGGGGAGGGAGGAGAGACTCGAGTGAAGGAGGGAGGAGAGAGAGAGGAGAGAATAAAGTGAAGGAGGGAGGAGAGAGAAGAGAGGGAGGGAGAGAGACTAAAAGTGAAGGAGGGAGGAGAGAGAGAGGAGAGAAATTAAAGTGAAGGAGGGAGGAGAGAGAGGAGAGAGACAAAAGTGAAGGAGGGAGGAGAGAGACTAAAGTGAAGGAGGGAGGAGAGAGACTAAAGTGAAGGAGGGAAGAGAGAGAGAGGAGAGAGAGAAAAGTAAGGAGGAGGAGAGAGAGGAGAGAGACAAAAGTGAAGGAGGGAGGAGAGAGAGACTAAAGTGAAAGAGAGGGAGGAGAGAGACAAAGGAGGAGGAGGGAGAGAGAGAGAGACTAAAGTGAAGGAGGGAGGAGAGAGACTAAAGTGAAGAGAGGGAAGAGAGAGAGAGGAGAGAGACTAAAGTGAAGGAGGGAGAGAGAGAGAGGAGAGAGACTAAAGTGAAGGAGGGAGGAGAGAGAGAGGAGAGAGACAAAAGTAAAGGAGGGAGGAGAGAAATTAAAGTGAAGGAGGGAGGAGAGAGAGGAGAGACTAAAGTGAAGGAGGGAGGAGAGAGAGAGGAGAGAGACTAAAGTGAAGGAGAGAGGAGAGAAAGAGGAGAGAGACTAAAGTGAAGGAGGGAAGAGAGAGACTAAAGTGAAGGAGGGAGGAGAGAGACTAAAGTGAAGGAGGGAGGAGAGAGACTAAAGTGAAGGAGGGAGGAGAGAGACTAAAGTGAAGGAGAGAGGAGAGAGACTAAAGTGAAGGAGGGAGGAGAGAGACTAAAGTGAAGGAGGGAGGAGAGAGAGAGACTAAAGTGAAGGAGGGAGGAGAGAGACTAAAGTGAAGGAGGGAAGAGAGAGAGGAGAGAGACTAAAGTGAAGGAGGGAGGAGAGAGAGAGGAGAGAGACTAAAGTGAAGGAGGGAGGAGAGAGAGACTAAAATAAAGGAGAGAGGGAGGAGAGAAATTAAAGTGAAGGAGGGAGGAAGAGAGACAAAAGTGAAGGAGGGAGGAGAGAGACTAAAGTGAAGGAGGGAGGAGAGAGAGGAGAGAGACAAAAGTGAAGGAGGGAGGAGAGAGACTAAAGTGAAGGAGGGAGGAGAGAGACTAAAGTGAAGGAGGGAGGAGAGAGACTAAAGTGAAGGAGGGAGGAGAGAGACAAAGTGAAGGAGGGAGGAGAGAGAGACTAAAATAAAGGAAAGAGGGAGGAGAGAAATTAAAGTGAAGGAGGGAGGAGAGAGACTAAGTGAGAGAGGAGGGAGAGAGACTAAAGAAGGAGGGAGGAGAGAGAGGAGAGAGACAAAAGTGAAGGAGGGAGGAGAGAGATTAAAGTGAAGGAGGGAGGAGAGAGAGGAGAGAGACTAAAGTGAAGGAGGAGGAGAGAGAAGTGAAAGGAGGGAGGAGAGAGACTAAAGTGAAGGAGGGAGGAGAGAGACTAAAGTGAAGGAGGGAGGAGAGAGACTAAAATGAAGGAGGGAAGAGAGAGAGAGACTAAAGTGAAGGAGAGAGGAGAGAGAGGAGAGAGACTAAAGTGAAGGAGGGAGGAGAGAAAGAGGAGAGAGACTAAAGTGAAGGAGGGAAGAGAGAGACTAAAGTGAAGGAGGGAGGAGAGAAAGAGGAGAGAGACTAAAGTGAAGGAGGGAGGAGAGAGACTAAAGTGAAGGAGGGAAGAGAGAGAGAGACTAAAGTGAAGGAGAGAGGAGAGAGAGGAGAGAGACTAAAGTGAAGGAGGGAGGAGAGAGAGAGGAGAGAGACAAAAGTAAAGGAGGGAGGAGAGAGAGACTAAAATAAAGGAGAGGGGGAGGAGAGAAATTAAAGTGAAGGAGGGAGGAGAGAGAGAGGAGAGAGACAAAAGTGAAGGAGGGAGGAGAGAGACTAAAGTGAAGGAGGGAGGAGAGAGAGGAGAGAGACAAAAGTGAAGGAGGGAGGAGAGAGACTAAAGTGAAGGAGGGAGGAGAGAGACAAAAGTGAAGGAGGGAGGAGAGAGAGAGACTAAAGTGAAGGACAGAGAGGGAAGAGAGGGCACAAAATTGAAGGAGGGAGGAGAGAGACTAAAGTGAAGGAGGGAGGAGAGAGACTAAAGTGAAGGAGGGAGGAGAGAGACTAAAGTGAAGGAGGGAGGAGAGAGACTAAAGTGAAGAGGGAGGAAAGGACTAAAGTGAAGGGACGAGAGAGACTAACAGTGAAGGAGGAGGAGAGAGACTAAAGTGAAGGAGGGAGGAGAGAGAGACTAAAATAAAGGAGAGAGGGAGGAGAGAAATTAAAGTGAAGGAGGGAGGAGAGAGACAAAAGTGAAGGAGGGAGGAGAGAGAGACTAAAATAAAGGAGAGAGGGAGGAGAGAAATTAAAGTGAAGGAGGGAGGAGAGAGACTAAAGTGAAGGAGGGAGGAGAGAGACTAAAGTGAAGGACAGAGAGGGAAGAGAGGCACAAAATTGAAGGAGGGAGGAGAGAGACTAAAGTGAGGGAGGGAGGAGAGACAGAGGAGAGAGACTAAAGTGAAGGAGGGAGGAAAGAGACTACAGTGAAGGAGGGAGGAAAGAGACAAAAGTGAAGGAGGGAGGAGAGAGACTAAAGTGAAGGAGAGAGGAGAGAGACAAAAGTGAAGAAGAAAGGAGGGAGGAGAGAGAGAGGAGAGAGACTAAAGTGAAGGAGGGAGGAGAGAGACTAAAGTGAAGGAGGGAGGAGAGAGACAAAAGTGAAGGGAGGGAGGAGAGAGAGAAAAATAAAGGAGAGAGGGAGGAGAGAAATTAAAGTGAAGGAGGGAGGAGAGAGAGGGACTAAAGTGAAGGACAGAGAGGGAAGAGAGGCACAAAAGTGGAGGAGGGAGGAAAGAGACAAAAGTGAAGGAGGGAGGAGAGAGACTAAAGTGAAGGAGAGAGGAGAGAACCAAAAGTGAAGAAGAAAGGAGGGAGAAGAGAGAGAGGAGAGGGACTAAAGTGAAGGAGGGAGGAGAGAGAGAGAGAGAGGAAAAGACAAAAGTGAAGGAGGGAGGAGAGAGGAGAGAGACTAAAGTGAAGGAGGGAGGATAGTGAAGAGAGAGGAGAGGGAGGGAGAGAAGGGGGAGGGAGACTGAAGTGAAAACAGAAGGAGAGAGAGTAGCAAAGAGAAGGATAAGAGAGAGGGAGGAGAGAGAAGAGAGAGAGACTAAAGTGAGGAAAGAGGGAGTAGAGATAGAAAAGAGAGAGATGGGAGAGGGGGAAAGTAGGGAAGAGAGGGGAGAGAGGGAGAGAAAAGAGAGGAAGAGCTAGAGGAGAGAGAGAAGAAGGGAGAAAGAGTAGAGAGAGGAAGAGAGAGGGATCGAGAAGAGATGGCTTGTGAGGGAGGAGGGTGAGGAGAAAGAGAGAGAGGAGAGAAAAAGTAAAAGGAGAGAAAAGAGAAAGGAGAGAGAAGATAGAGAAAGAGAAGAGAGAATGAAAGAGAGAGAGAACAAAAGAAGAGAGAGAAAGAGAGGAGAGAGAGAGAGAGAGAGAGTGAAAGAGAGAGGAGAGAAAAAGAGGAGAAAGACTGAAAGAGAAAGGAGAGAGAAAGAGGAGAGAGAGAGAAGTGAAAGAAACAGGAGAGAGAAAGAGAGGAGAGAGAGAGTGAAAAAGAAAGAGAGAGAGAGAAGAGAGAGGAGAAAGACAGATGACAACGAAAGAAAAAAGAGAAAGAAGAGAGAGAAGGAGAGAGATAGAGGAGAGAGAAAGGTGAGAAAGACTGAAGGAGAAAGGAGAGAGAAAGAGAGGAGAGAGAAAGAGAGAGAGAGATAGAGAAGAGTGAAAGAAAGAGAGGAGAGTGAAAAAGAAAGGAGAGAGAAAAAAGAGAGAAGAGAGAAAGAGGGGAAGTGAGAGAGAGAGAGGAGAGAGAGAGGAGAGAGAAAAAAGAGAGAAGAGAAAGGGTGAAAGACATAGATGAGAGAGAAAGAAAGAAATAAAAAGAGAGGAGAGAAAAGGAGAGAGAAAGAGAGAGAAAGTGAGAGGAGAAAGAGAGAGAGGAGAAAGAGAGGGAGAGTGAGAAGAAAGAGAGGAAGAGGAAAGAGAGGAGAGAGAAGAGAGGAGAGTGAAGAAAGAGAGGAGAGAGAAAGAAAGAGAGGAGAAGAGAAGGAGAGAGAAAGAGAGAGAGAGAGAGAAGAGAGAGAGAGAAAGAGAGAGAGGAGAAAGAGAGGAGGGAGAAAGAAAGAGAAGAGAGAGAAAGAGAGAGAGAGATAGAGAAGAGTGAAAGAAAGAGAGGAGAGAGAGTGAAAAATAAAGGAGAGAGAAAAAAGAGAGGACAGAGAAAGAGTGAAAGACGGATGAAGAAAGATGAGAGAGAAAGAAAGAAAGAAAAAAAAAGAGAGGAGAGAAAAGGAGAGAGAAAGAGAGAGAAAGTGAGAGGAGAAAGAGAGAGGAGAAAGTGAGAGAAATAGAGAAGAGTGAAAGAAAGAGAGGAGAGAGAGAAAGAGAGAAAGAAAGAGAAGAGAGAGAAAGAGAAGAGAGAGAAAGAGAGAGAGAGAAGAAGAGAGAGAAGAGAAAGAGAGAGAGAAGAGAGGAGCGTGAAAGAAAGAGAGGAGAGAGAAAGAAAGAGAGAGAGAAAGAGAGAAGAGAAAGAAAAAGGAGGAGAAAGAGAGGAGAGAGGAAAGAGAAAGGAGAGAGAAAGAGAGGAGAGTGAAAGAAAGAGAGAGAAAGAGAGAAAGAAAGAAAGAGAGAGAGAGAGAGGAGAGAAAGAAAGAAGAGAGAGAAGAGAAGAAAGAGAGGAGAGAGAAAGAGAGGAGAGAGAAAGAAAGAGAGAGAGAAAGAGAGGAGAGTGAAAGAAAGAGAGGAGAGAGAAAGAAAGAGAGAGAGAAAGAGAGAAGAGTGAAAGAAAGAGAGGAGAGAGAAAGAGAGGAGAGAGAAAGAAAGAGAGAGAGAGAGAGAGGAGAGAGAAGAAAGAGAGGAGAGAGAA